TCCAATAATAGGCGGCTTTAATTCGTCTATACATACGACTTGAACCTGGGTGACCCGCAATAGGTGAATCGTGATTCTCTTTTAAAATTTTAGGGATTTCGACGGGAGTAGGATAGTTTAATTGATTTTTGTATATATGAATTTTAATGTTAGTGTTATGAAAAATATAGGCAATCATATTATATACTTTAATATAAGCTAGCTTAGAAAATGGATCTGAAAAGTCTGATAAGGCGAGATCTGTAATATCAGGGTTCTCGATTAAAATTTTATCTCTGAGTTTTATAATTAAATTGTAAATATCTTTAAATTTGGTTTCTTCATAATGATGAATTTTAGTGTACATAAAATAGTAAGATTTATTCTTATCCTTTACGCATTGAATTGTAAATGGTTCGCGTTCGGAATTTAATAAGTCGTCAGGCTTGTCTAATTGTGCTAATATTTCTTCACAGTGAGGTATAGATGAGTCAAAATCTAAAGAGACGGGACAAGCAATAGTTTTTAGTTTGGATAGGTGTAATCCTTGAGTACATTCTAGGATTATTGTATTTGAAATAGGAGTTTTATTTGTAAATTGGTCTTTAAAATATTTTTCATAACTAGAATTATTTAAAGTGTTAATATCTATAACATTAACGGGACAGCGAGATAACGCATCGGCGTTAGAATTAAGACGGCCTTGTTTATAAACAATTTCGTAATCGTATTCTTCGAGTTTTAAGCGCCAACGAATGAGTCTACTACCTGGGTCTTTGACATTGAATAGCCATACCAATGGTCTATGATCGGTAACTATTTTGAATTTATTACCGTAGAGGTAAGGACGAAACGTTTTGACTGCGAATAGAATGGCTAGAAGTTCCTTTTCGGTAGTTGAATAATTGCCTTCGGGACGGTTTAGAGTACGTGATGCATAAGCTATCGGTTTATCTTTGCCTACAGGACCTTGGGATAAGATTGCACCTACGGCATAATTACTTGCATCTGTAGTTACTATAAACGGTTGAGAGAAGTCTGGATATTGGAGCAGCGGAGCAGTGATTAATTTTTCTTTTAAAACATCGAAAGCAATTTGTTGTTCTTGAGACCAGTGGAAAGTAGTATCCCTTTCTAATAAAGAAGTAAGTGGTTTTGTCAATTTAGAAAATTATCAATAAATCGGCGATAATAGCCTATTAGGCCTAGGAAGGATTTAATTTCCTTAGGGCTCTTAGGAATTGGAAATTGTGACACTGCTTTTACTTTTTCTGGATTAGGAGAGACACCCTTATCGGTGATAATATGACCAAGATAAGTTACTTCACGTCTTAAAAATTCGCACTTATCTGGTTGCAATTTTAGATTGTATTCACGCAGCTTATTGAATACTAGTTTTAATTTTTCCATATGTTCATTTAAATTATGACTATAAATTATGCAATCATCTAGATAAACATAACAGTGTAGACCTTGCAAACCTGATAAGACAGTATTCATCAGGCGCTGGAAGGTAGAAGGAGCGTTTTTTAAACCAAAGGGCACTCTAGTGAATTCGTAGTGACCAGACATGCTCGAATTAGTACTTATAGTAAATCCCGTTTTTGGGGCATCTTTAGGATCCATCTTTATTTGGTGGAAACCGCTGGCAAGATCAAGGGTTGTGAAATAGTTGGAATGGCCTAATTGATCTAGGATATCGGTGATAAGAGGCAGGGGATAACTTTCGGAAACTGTGATGTCATTAAGACGGCGATAGTCAATGACTATTCTCCACTTTCTTTTGCCAGAAGCGTCTAATTTTTTCGGGACTACCCATACAGGGGCGCTCCAAGGCGAAACAGAGGGACGAATTATGTTTTGATTTAGCATTTTGCGAATTTGTGTATCGACTTCTTCCTTATGACACTCAGGGAAGCGATATGATTTTACGTGAACTGGGGCCGCGTTACCCGTATCTATGGAATGTTGGATGCCATTCGTAAACGAAAGGGGTTCACCTTCGAGGTGAAAGATATCCGTATAATCGGAACAGCAATTTAAAAGTGCTTTCTTTTCTTCATCGTTGAGATGGGAGCAGCGTAAAAGACTTAATACTCGATCTATTCGATTAGATTTAGAAGTAGAAATAGAATACAAACATTTACTAGATATAGGATTTTCGCAGGAAATAGAATTATTATAATCGATCGGTGTCAATTCTACGAAATAATCTTTAATTTCTAAGTCTGTGTCAGTCGTGTTTAAAACGGTGATGTTAACTTTTTTGTTTGGTTTTATTGACACAATACAATTCGCGACGTAAATACCCTCGCTTAAGGTATGATCTAGAACTAAGCCTTCATTATTGTGATAAAGCTCGACAGAGTAATTTGATATAGCGCATTCAATGACGGCTTCTTAGCGTGCCGGAACGATGTATGTTGGCTGATGAAATATAATGGGAACTTGGTAACCACACAGAGTCATTATCTTAGAGCTATAATCTATATTAGCATTAAAATATTTAAGAAAATCTGTACCAATAATACCGTCGTAATTAAGATTTATATTATCGTTAATAACGTAGAATTTATACTCGTAAGTTTCATCACTTAATAAAAATTGTAAGTAGATTGAGCCTAGCGTTTCGCAATACGTATCCGTATCATTTATGCCTTTGATTCTTATTTTGTCCTTAAGAAGTTCATGTTTCATTTTTAAACATGAGTGTTTGATGACACAGACACTCGCGCCGGTATCGATAAGAAGTTTGAGACACTTAGGAGAATATTTTGTAAATAGATTTGTATATGGTAACGAAACTTTGCATGTATTTATGCTCGTTTCAAAGATAGGAATAGAATTAGAATAAGATTCATTAAGACTCGGCTTAACCTCTTTGGGTTGCTGAGATGAAGATATAGTAAACGATTTAGTAGGACTCGGTTGTACCTTTTTGGTCAACTGAGATGCATAAGAACTAGCAAGACTCAGCTTCACCTCTTTGGGTTGCTGAGATGTAATAGGCTTATAATGACTCAGTTCCTCTTTGGGTAACTGAGATGTAAATGAGCTAGAATGACTCGGTTGCTTGCTAAAGCATTGCCGAGATGAGTTAGAATAAGAATTAGAATAAGATTTAGCATAAGGATTTTTATAAGATTTAGTAGAAAAAGTAGTATTAATTGTTTTCGTGTCGTTACGATAGTACGATTTCGGCAGACACGCATCCGAAATCTTATTCAGTTTAAAGAGTTAGAGTTATCGACAGCGTCGTCGTTATCATATGTCATGTGCATAGGCACAGAGTTGGAACTAGAATTGGAAATAGGGTTACGACTTATAAAATTAGAATTATTATTTGGGCTACGATTTATATAATTAGAATTAGTATTAGAGTTATGATTAAAATTATGACGTTGTTGCATATTATATTGTCGCTTTCTACATTGATCAATAGTGTGCCCTATGTTTTTGCAATAATTACACATTAATTTACCAGAATTAGAACTAGATAAATGCGAAATTTGTTTATTATGATTATAATTAGAATGTTTTTTATTTTTAAAACATTGAATAGCAACATGGCCTACTTTATTACATATACTACACTGTTTTATTGAATTTTTTGAACACGTTTGGAGATTTTGTAATTTTTTCTCTTCTATCGCTAATTGAACAGCTTCATTTAGAGTTTGAGGGTTCCTACATCTAACAATAGTAGAAATAGCAGGATTTAACCCTAACAAAAATGTATTTAATGCTAGATCCTCCATGGCGGCTATTCTACCTGGAAGCTCATCAGCGTTTTTGCAACTATAGTGTATATCTGATTGAATTTTTGTTAAAATTTGTTCTAATTTTAAAGAAAACTTAGTGACGTCCTCGGATGACTGTTTACAGTTTTGCAAGTCTGATAGTAAATGTGTCGCGAGTTTTTTCTCCCCAAAAGTAGAACGGAGAAATGATTTTATTTGATTCCATGTTTCGAAGGTTTTTAAACTACATGCAACTTGTGCTTTTCCCTCTAGTTGTGAGATGATGAATTTGCACAGAATAGGCTGTTGTTCTGGTGTAGCTAACGACATTGCATTGTCGCAGTTTGTAAGAAAAGCGGGTAGGGAATCTTTCTCCCCATTATAGGATTTTATAAATTTCGTCAAGAATGAAAGCGTGATTCTTTCCGACATATTTTCTTTACCTTTTTCTGCTTTAAGCGACATAGAATTAAATTTTAAATATTAAACTTATATAATATAATCACAATAAAACAACGTAAAAGATTGGTAATAGTACAGAAACAGTGTAAAATAAAAGTAAATTTTAAATTTAAACAGAATACAAAATGACTTACAGAATGGTAATAATTTCTACACGTAGCATTTAAGCGTCGTAACAATAGCTAGGTGAAACGTTACACTCGTGGCGGCTGGCAGGCGAGATCGCTGACGCGGTGACTCCGTCACGTCGTGGGAAATAGCAGGACCGGAAGGCGTAGAAAGTTCTTGAAATAATTTTTGTTGGTGAGTTAGATCCAGCTGGTGCGGGCTCCTGATGGAGACTTATCGTCGGCCAGACGGGAGATTTCAGGACCAGGTGTGAGTGGAGCGGGCTCACGCTTCAGAGCGGAGGCTGATCGTCGTCCAAAATTGTGGTAGGTGCAGGCTTAGGCACGGCTAAGACTTAATGTCGACCTTGATGATTTCGGGGACCTCGGATTCGGATGCCAATGTCTTCTATGACCTTCTGTTTGGCATCCCACTTCTGACATCAATTTGTTAGGAGGCCGATCCCGTTAGACTTTTTAAAAAAAAAACCACAAGGTAAACCTAAGGGTTTATTATAAAAAGTTTACACACACAATTAATATTAACCCTGACTTCCGAACTCTAATACGTATCGGAATCTATGTCCGATCTACCCGGGGCTCTGAATCTAACTGACTGTAAAATGGAATAAAATTAATATGGAAAAGAACAATGCAATTACTGATTGACGTCATATATAGGAAAAGTACCGTGGGATTGAATAAATGCTTACTAAGATTTAACTGCGTTGTAAAAAGGGATATAACAGTACGCTTGTATGTGGGTGCCTAGTTCTTCTACCTCCCTTAGTAATGGGTCAAGTTGCAGGTTCCACAGCAGAGGTCCGCAAGTAGATCCTTCTATGCATCCTTTGTTGGTTTGTTTTATTATCTCACTACCTGCGTATGTTAATTTTATTTGTCTATCTGTGAGATAACTTCCGATTGGCCTACATACAGATTTGTCAACCTTTTTCTTATCAAGCTCATTAATCATTGCGGGCCACCAAGCGTTATCGAAAGCTCCTTCAATGTCAATGGAGACAATCACAACAATTTCACTGTTTTTTAAACCCTGCCTGACAACCTCAAGGGCGTCGCATAGGGCGTCCTCAGTCCCTCTCTGTGAGACAAACCCGTATTGCCTACCGCTCATTTTATTTTCTGAGCCGATCTGCCAGGTCATTCGATTAACGAATAGTTTTTCAAGCCCTTTTCCCAGTACAGGTAAGAGTCCTATTGGCCGATATGATTTTGGAAGTGTGTAGTTCTCCTTGTTAGGCTTTGGGATGACTTTAATTATTGCGCTTTTCCAGGTTTTTGGAAAGTGTCCAAGTGCAAGGCATTTGTTGTAAATTGCCAAGAGTATCTGTGGAAGAGCTTTGTAACATATGTCGGCTGTAAGACTGTCTTCTCCTGGCGATTTCCGAGGGCTCATTGATTGAAGAATAAATTCTACCTCAGTGTTTGTAAATGGTTTTGTGGTATCTTCTTTGGTGATCTTCGCCCATTCTTTCTTGATTGTTTCAGCCTTTTGTCGCATCTCTGAGTGTGGTTGTTCATCCGTTTCGATATCGTCATATGGATAAAAAGTTTCAGATAATATTTTAGCAGACTCTTCCGGGGTCATTATCTTACTAGTTGTCGTTTCTCGTAACAATGTATCCTCCGGAGTTCTGCTCGATTTCCTTATGATCCTGTATATCCCTTGCCACAAATTTTCACGGTCTTGTTTTTTACAGAAGTCTTTCCAGCTTGAAGTGAGAGTGTCAGTCAGGAGATTTTTGTATTCTGCTTTGGCAGTTATATAATCTTCAATCACTGATTGTCTTCTGTTCTGGTTGGCATGTTTGATTTTCCTTCTTTTTCGGATTACATCTTTTTTCTTGTCGCTTAGTTGTTTTGTCCACCATGGAGTCTTTGCGCTGATGGTTTTTGCCAGCTTTGGAATAGCTTTGTCGGAGGATCTCTGAATGCAATCGACGTATTGTTGTACAAGATCTTCTAAAGCGTCTGTGTTTCCTATTTCAGTGATGGATTCCTCGGTGATCTTCAGTACTTTTAGTTCCTCCTTCAGAAAATAGGTAAAACTTGCCCAGTCTGCTTTCCCTGTATTATAGATACGTGTAGTTTGTCTCTGAGTGGCTTCTGCCGTTATTTTTTCGAGGTTAACACTATACGTTATAGCTCTGTGGTCCGATAAGGTGACAAAATCAGGGTTGACTCTCCAGTTCGTTATTTTGTTGAGTAGACCATTTGAACATGCAGTAACATCGACGATGCTGGTATAATCTCTATTTCCTCTATGTGCCCAGAAGGTTGGTGTTTTTCCTGTGTTCAGTATATGTAGTTCTAGCTGTGCAAATGATTCCGATATAGCTGTTCCCCGTCTGTCCTCCACATCGCAACCCCACCAGGGACTCTTTGCGTTAAGGTCTCCTCCAATGATTATATTTTCTGAGTCTAGAATGTTTCTGTAGTTGGAAATTATTCTTAGGTCTTGTTCGACGTCTTGAGCCCCTTCCATGTATATGTTAATAATCGCAACATAGTGGTTATATATTTTAAATTTACATGCAACAATATTTTCTGTAATAATATCAGGATTTACAGTGTACTGTACGGACGAATCAACGACAATGACCGCAGATTTGACGGGTTTTTGAGTGTCATTAGTTTGCTTTTGGATAACTCTGTGCCTACAAGTAACATGTGCCTTAGGACCTACGTAAGGTTCCTGTACTAAGATTATTGATATTCCCTGCGATTCCGCCGTTTTTAGGCATTCCTGTAACGCTGCGAATCCTCTGCCAAGGTTGACTTGTGCAATTTTTATAGCCCTTGAATGCTTTTGTGGGAAGACTTCAGTGCCTTTAGTAGTATGAAATGGTTGCTCGGGCAATCCGGTCCCATTTACGCCACTCCGGGCATTCCGGGCTATAAGCGGGATGGGCACAGTTGGCATCAGTTTCCTTTCTATCTATGCAATTTATACACTTAGGTACTTTGTTTTTATTGCAGCACTCTCTTGTGTCATGCGATTCAGCACAGTACCCACATGCGATTTTCTTAACTTGGCATTCTCGTGCTAGATGAGAATAACCTAGGCATCGATAACACTGTATTACCGGTGATTGGTCTGTGGCTGGTACTATTTGGAAGCCTATTCTGACTTTTTGGTTTTGTAGTCTCGTCCAGATTTGTGGGCTTACCTCTAGGATGACATTGCACGTGGAACTTGTGCGACCCTTAGTTCTCCTAATTACTTTTATGTGGTTTTGTGATGCTGGGATGTCGTTTAGAAGTGTAGCGTTTTGTTTCATCACGGCCTCTACGATATTCCCATCCGTCAAGTCGAAGACGACTCCTGTTAAGCGTATAAGCGGGAATTTTGTGGCTGGCCTGTGCACGGTAAGCTGATTGGCTGTGCTTTTAAGTTGGTTCTGAAGTGTATTTCTGTCTCCTTCAGACTCACAGCTGATGAGGACTTTCTGGTTCTTTGCCTTTCTAATATGGTTGATGCCAATGCCTAAGTCAACCACGTCGACCCCGCCCTTAATCTGCTTTATTACGTCATCACTTGTCCGTCTGGGATCAATTGACTCCACTATAAGTGGGTAATTTGGTTTTGCAACAACGTTGTAAAGATTGAGAGTGTGTTGACGAGGGTTGCGTACCTTATATTCAGAATCACCAAACGGTATGCGCTGAAGGTCATACAGGTTTACGCACCAACCTCGGCACACCCCGATGAGGAGGTGGAGGAAATGTATGAGGATATCTCTAGAGCCATGCATTCCTCCAAAACCCAATATACGGTGTTAATGGGAGACCTCAACGCAAAACTCGGCACAAGGGAGAACGGTGAGCTGAAAGTAGGGAAATTTGGAATAGGGCAACGGAACCCAAGGGGCCAGCTGCTGGCCGACTTCATGGAGAAACAAGGACTCTTTATGATGAACTCTTTATTCCAGAAGCGGCCCCACAGGAAGTGGACCGGGTCGAGCCCCGACGGTTCCACAAAAAATAAGATTGACTTCATTATGACGACCAGACGACAACTGTTCAGTGATGTCTCCGTGATCGCGAGGGTGAAAACTGGTAGCGATCACCGAATGGTTAGAGGCACACTGAACCTAAATGTTAAGTTGGAGAGGTCTCGTCTAATGAAGTCAACGCTCCGTCCCCCTCGTGCTCTGTTCCAAAGTCCCGAAACCTTTTAGCTCGAGTTATAAAACCGTTTTCAGTGCCTAGAAGACTGCAATAAATTGGACGATATGAATAACAAGCTCGTGGAAACTGTCCATGCGGTCGGAGCTAAGTTCTGCAAGACCCGTCGCAGACGAACACAAAAACTCTCCGATCACACACTTAATCTCATGGCTGTTAGACGGGAGATGAAGCTACATTCTTCAACAGATTTGGCAGCATACAGGCAACAGAACAGACAGATCTCCAAATGCATGCGGCGGGACTTACACAACTTCAATACAGCTTGTATTGAAGAAGCGATCGAGCGGAACCAAGGCTCCAAAGTCTTTGCCAGAGATCTGTGTGCCAGAAAGAGCCAACTGTCAAGGCTGAAGACCGAATGTGGTAGCATCGTTTCCGGGGCAACTGAGATTTTGAGTGAGATTGAGAGGTTCTATGGGCAGCTGTACACGTCATCGTTGGAGCCACACGCAAGTGTGAGTAACGATCCAAGAGCGAGTCTTATCCGACACTATTCCGAAGATATCCCGGACGTCAGTCTGAGCGAGATTAGAATGGCTCTCCAGAACCTTAAAAACGGCAAGACCCCAGGCGAGGATGGAATTACTGCGGAGCTTCTGAAAGCGGGTGGAAGACCGGTATTTGAAGTCCTTCAGAAGCTCGTTAATTCCGTCCTCCATGGTGGCGTTACACCGGAGGCGTGCACAGAAGTGCGGTGGTCTTGTTCTAACTACAGACCGATTTCCCTTCTGAACCGCGTCTACGTGCTGTTTTCGAGAGTCATTACGAATCGTCTCAGACTTGACGATTTCCAGCCTCCCGAACAACCCGGTTTCCGAAAAGGCTTCAGCGCCATAGTTCACATACACACCCTTCGTCAAATTGTACAGAAGTCCGAGGAGTACAATTTGCCACTATGTCTGGCGTATGTGGACTATGAGAAAGCCTTTGATTCCGTCGAAATTTGGGCGGTGCTGCAGCCCCTTCAGCGGTGCCAAGTGGACTGTCGGTATATCGAAGTGCTGAAGTGTTTGTACAGTAGAACTACGATGGCTATCCGAGTACAGAACCAGAGTACAAAACCTATCTAATTGCAGAGTGGTGTAAGACAGGGTGATGTCATATCCCCGAAACTCTTCACCGCTGCATTGGAAGACGTTATCAAGCTTCTGGACTGCAAAAGGATACGGTATCAAGATCAATGGCGAGTACATCACTCACCTTCGATTTGCCGACGATATAGTCATTATGGCAGAATCGATGGAGGACCCAAGCACCATGCTCAATGACCTCAATAGTGTCTCCCAACGAATAGGTCTTAGGATGAACATGGAGAAAACAAAGATCATGTTTAATGTCCATGTCACACCTATGCCGGCAGTTGTTGGGAGCACTAAGCTCGAAGTTGTTGACGAGTATGTTTACCTGGGACAAATAGTCCGACTAGGTAAGTCCAACTTCGACCGAGAGGTCAATCGACGGATTCAACTCGGCTGGGCAGCGTTCGGGAAACTACGACACTTCTTCTCGTCAGACATACCTCAAAACCTTAAAACGAAATTGTACAACCAGTGCGTGTTGCCAGTGATGACTTACGGATCTGAGACGTGGTCCTTCACTGCTGGCCGTATGAGGAAGCTCAAGGTTGCTCAGCGAGCTATGGAGAGGGCTATGCTCGGGGTTTCTCTTCGTGATAAACTTACAAATGAGTATATCCGCAGTAGAACCAGAGTAACCGACATAGCCCAACGGATTAGTAAGCTGAAGTGGCAGTGGGCCGGCCATATAGCTCGAAGAACCGACAACCGATGGGAAAGAAATGTTTTGGATGGGCAGCCTCGTACCGGTAGGTGAAGTGTAGGGCAACCCCCCACGAGATGGAGTGACGACCTGGTAAGACATGCAGGAAGTCGATGGATGCAGGTGGCTCAGGACCGTGCTTTGTGGCATTCCTTGGGGGAGGCCTATGTTCAGCAGTGGACTTATGAAAGGCTATAATGATGATGATGATGATGATCTGGGCAAAATATTGGCATGGACGTTATTTCATAATTGTAATGAATTTCGGCAAATATTTTAGTTCCGCGACTTGCCGCACAACATTTGTAGGTCGCTACTTCTAGGCGTATATCAGCGCTGTGTATATTCGACTTTTTTCTCTATCTATTACTCCGCGTAACTGGTTACCGTATATTGTAGAGATTTTTAAAGTTTTTGTTGACTCAAATCGATGGTTTAATTATATCCGCAAAGTGAGCTCACGATATTGGCTGTATGGGAAAGTAAAAACGAAAGGGGGCGAATATTTGTTTAGTAGCTATTGGTCGCTGGTCGGTCATTTGAAGTCCGTTTGGCGCGTTTGCTGCAGTAAAAGTGAAGTGAAAATTTTAAGCTCGTCTTGTTTTTCATACATTTATTTGAATTGCCGATTTACTGATTTAATAAAAAAAGTAAAACAACAATATTTACAAACATGTATATATATTAAATTATTTCATATATTAAACAACATGACAAGGTTCCTAGAAGAACAAAAATATTAGAAAACATTTATCTTACAACTCTTCAAGCCCCTCCTCAGATTCAAGCTACCTCCAATCTTGATGAAATAGAGAATTAGCTTGTATGTAACTAAGGTAAGGAGCAGCGAGCCATGGAGAGAGCATTCTTATGGAGCGTAAAAGCGAGCAAGCTTTTTGAAGAGAAGAAGAGAAGGCCAATATGGCCTCTCTTCTTCTCTTCAAAAAGCTTGGCGTGATAAGCAGAGCATAACAGCATTTCATGCCGGTACACTCTATCTCACATCGTATCTGTTCCCATTTCTAGGCCGGGGCTCCCCAGTGCCAGCTCCTTCCATTTGATCGTATCCAGCGCAGAGTAGTTTTAGTTGTCTGTGCCCGAACTCTTTCTGACCATCTTGACTCACTGGCACTGCAAAGAGATGTTGCATCTCTTTGCCTATTTTTTCGCATCTACCACGGAAAGTGTTATGAGGAATTTTTCGGACTAATTGCAGCCGCTTAATTCATCAACGCACATCGCGACAAAACTTGCGATACCATCCATACTATCTGGATGATTGGCGGTCCACCACTGTGCGATCTATAACGTGTTTTCTTCCTCGCACAACTTCCTTGTGTAATCGACTACCAGCGATTTTTCTGGACCGATACGACTTCGCGACCTTCAAGAAAAGAGCTTCTCTTTTATTAAAAGGCTGGTAGCATACCTGCGATTCCCTTAGTGTTGCAGATGTTGACGGGCGGCAGTCGAAACTTACCATCAGGTGAGCCGCATCTTCGTTTACCCACTCTTCTATAAAATAATACCAAAGATTTCTTCGCAAGGAATCTTATTCCCGACAGCTCATCGAGTATTATAGCTTCTAGCTTATATTATAGCTTCATGATGACTACACATGTTATTTTATACTATATAATATTTTTATTTTTTCCTTAAAATGTTCACATGCATCAGGTGATAGCCCTGTCAGAATAGGTATAGATATTCGACGTTGTTAGAAAGCTTCCCCTCTGGTCTTCTTTACTCTGTGCTAAAGCCAAGACATTTGTCAAGAAGTACATGGCAAAGTTCGATCCAGTCTACAAACCCTCCGTAGGAGTAATAGTGTTCTGTGCTACAAACGACCACCGGAGGAAGCCGACTAGCGTAAATTATCGCGTTCTTGTGACGCCATCTAGTTACATAGTGACAAATAAATGAAATAAGTAAACAAGTGATACGTGACAGTGTAAGTGAATTTATTGCGAAGGGAGTTAGCATTTTGTCTATAAAGAAAGATGTAGACAATTTAAGGTTGTGTCAACTTGTTCCAATCCCTTTAGCATTTTAATGTTTTATTAAATACATTCTTTTTTATATAAATTACTAGATTAAAATAATTTAATACCATTTCATGTTTGGTAAAATATTTCATAGAAAGTTTATTTCATAAAAATAAGTAGCTACTTGGCCAGACTGCTTCGCAAAATACTTTTTTCATTTATTACACTTTTTTTTACAGTGTTTTTACACTAAAGCAGTAAAAAGTCACCATATATAAGAATTTATAAAACAATTCGACATTACAAGTTACTGAAGTTAAACGGCGTATTCGTCATCCGTTAAGATAGATATGTATGTAAATAATAAAATATTTAAAAGAACAAAAATTTACAATACAAGTTCGTCACTTGAAACTCGCAATGTTTGCAATTCACAACTCGAAGTAATCGTAAAATGCTTATGTTAGTACTTGTTCACGACAGTACTCGAATGGCGGATTCGAACCCATCTCAAGCTTAACCATCAGGCTACATAAATTAGTACTAATATATGTGTTAAGTAAATATATATTTATGTATGTTCCTATATTTTCCCACTATATTGTCGGAAATGATGAATCCTGTGTCCCAGTTATGTAATAGAAGTTAATATATAAAACATGAATTGGAACAAGATACAAGTGATGCATGTGAAATGAAAGATATTATGTGTTCAAAAAATATTTTAGTAGAAAGTGGATTAAAATATGTCGGCATTGTACAAAAGTCATTGCTCCTTTATTCTGTTAATCTAACAGTTTTACGCTGCAGTTAGTATAGAATTTCAGAAATATTACTTGAGAATTTAAGTTAATTTGATTATGTTATGACGATTTTCAGTCATTATATTTTTTAAACAAAAACTATTATAAATTGCCTAATAACCTTTTCTTTCAACTTTAATACCACAATTTTAACATGAGATAAATCATAAATCCTCATATTCAAGTATGTATGTAATAAAAAAAATTATCTAGAAACAGATCGAATTTGTAAATATAGAGACTAAGAATTAGATTATGACATGTCATCACCTATAATGATTCTATATATAATTCGTTATACTTTATTTTTAAATGTTTAGATAAGTGACATTTCAATTTAGGCGAATATTATTTTCAGTGGGTAATGCAAATTGTTGTATTTATTTTTACATGATCTCTAAATCGTGTGCGTGTACAGAAATGGACAATATTTTCTTTAACTAAACATGTTTTACTCGAATTTGACGTAATTAAAATGGTTTTGTTTGTTTTATGAAGTACAGTATTATATGCAAATGATTGTCAAGTAATTTACACGCAGACGTTTACACGTGTGTGACGTCACACAACTAATTAAAGAGAGCAAAGCGTATTAACCAGTGTGTTAGGCAATAATATATCCACAAAATGTATAGAACATCATTCATTCATTTATTACAGCCAATCTAAAGTTTATGTTCTTACATATACAGGGTTATCTTTTAAGGAGTAGCCAAGTTTTTAACTTAAGTTCAAATATATAAATAATGATATACCATTATTACAGTTTTTAAAAATGCGAGTGAATTAAGGATGATTCACGCTACAACGTGGCGCGGCCGAGCCGTGCCGCGGTCGGGGCACGGTCAAACATTATGGTGTAATTTTTGTATGAAGCGATTCATGCCTGACCGTGGCCCGGCCGTGCCCCGGCCGTACGCCGCCGGGACTCGGCCGGGGCACCGCGTTGAAATGTCGGTGGGTATTGTTTCCCGGCTCCGGCCCGTTCCGGCCCCGACACGTTGTAACATGAACATATGCGCCCGGGCGCCCAGAGAGCAGTCAACGTCAAATCTTAGTGAAGTGAGCAGCTCAACAGCAAAATGGACGATGAAAAATTATTAGAATGTGTGCGCAAGTACCCTGTGATTTACGATATGAGCCATCCTAAGTATTTAGATAACAAATACAAAAATATTATTTGGAAAACCATTTCGGACGAAATAAAACAATCTGGTAAGTTGTAACTTTTATTTCAATTTACATTTATAATAGTTATTCAAGTGTCACTAATTACTTTACGACAACATGTAAGTACATGTGAGTGGGATTATCGGTTTTTAGTAGGTATTTTAGAATATGTTAGGTAAATTATAAGAAGTATATTATAGTGTAAGTATGTATTTATTCTTGATACTGTTGTCCTATAAAATATTCTTTAAACGTTTCTCTTACCGCAAATGCATCATTAGCCGGTCTTCCTGGTTGAATGCTCAATGGATTTAATAAATGTCGTTGCGCATTTTGTGCACTATGATTGATAAGCCCTGTGTAATCTTTTTGAATTTGCATAAAAAATTATGCAGTACGCATGTAGATAGAATAATGTAATCAACATTTTCTGGAGCAAGTTTCATTCTTCTTTGAAATATTCTAAATCTTTGTGTCAAAATGCCAAAGGCATTTTCGACTAGTCGCCGGGCCAAAGACAGTCTATGATTGAAATTCGTTTTATTAGCGTCACCTGTTGCTTGGTGTCCTGGATACGGTCGCATTAGGTATGTTTTCAAAGGAAACGCTTCATCACCAACTATTACATATGGTGCAAACGTAGAGGAACCGGGTAAATTTTTACCAATAGGTACATGAAGCGTCCCATTTTCTAAACGTTTTCCAAGATTACATTGTGCAAAAATGCCACCATCACTGTTTCGTCCGTAAGCGCCAACATCAACTGCAATAAATTTGTAGCATGCGTCCACTAACGCCAATAAAACAATTGAGAATGTGTGTTTATAATTAAAATATATAGAACCACTATTGGCTGGGGCTTCAATAACAAAATGTTTTCCATCCAATGCGCCTATACAATTTGGAAAACCTCTAAGCTTTTCAAAATCTTCGGCAATTTTACGCCACATTTCTTCTGTTAGTTCTGGTATAACGTCTTTCTTAAATCTTTTAACGATAGATCGACATGTGCTATGTACAATTTCGGTCACAGTTGAATGCCCCAATCGAAAACTGTACGAAATAGTTTTAAACGAATCCCCAGTAGCCAGGAACCTGAAAAAATAATAATGGTATAATTTCGCGGTATCTGTGTACTACAGTGAGCTATTACGTATTAACAGTACCATTTATACAGGTTGTAAAGAAAATTACTTAACTTGTTCATTCTATACTATCTTTTTGCAGATGATGTATGTAAAAAAAGGTGGGCAAACATACGGGACCAGTTCAAAAAACATAGAAACAAACGTAAAACCAAGAGTGGACAGGGTGCTGTGGCAATAAAAAAATATAAATATGAAGAGAGCTTGAATTTTTTACTGCCAAATATACAGGATCGAAATACAATAACAAGTATCGAGTCTGAGAACGAAGAGACGCAAAACGAAACGGTTACTTCGCCAGTTACTACGCCCAACGAAACAATTAACACCGATGAACAGCAGCAGCAGGAAGATCGCTCACCAGCTATTAGTGAACCAAATTTTACGCCACCTGCTGATCCGAATCCATATCCCCCGTCAACTGCACAATTCACTCGTTCCGGCAACCGCAATCGCAATGCAACCGTTGCAACTGCACACAATCGCCGTCGTATAGTGCCACAATCCCAGTCCTCTGCGTCAAGCGCATTAATGGAATACATTCTAAAAAATAAAGAAAAGTCCAACACACAAGACATTCATCCTATTGATGCTTTCTTCAACGGTTTGGCAGCCACCATAAAATCTTTTTCCCCTTACTATCAGCATCTTGCAAAAGGAAGAATATTTGCAGTAGTACAAGATTTGGAGTGGGAGCAATTGTCATCAGAGCCTTCTTACACATCTCCAATGAGTGGAACAACGTCAGCGTCGTCTACTAATTCAAGGTCGGTGTATGCACCGGTTCACCGGTTTAACGTGTGAACTTATGACACCCACGGTATAACGAGGAAGGCAGAGGAAGGTGGAGAGAGGTAGAGGAAAATTATAAATATTGTTCTATAAAAGTGTGGTTAAATCTACAACAATGAGATACTGTATTCCAATTGAATGGTTTAACGTACACCAATAGTTCAGCAGCTCAAGTATATGTTTTTTTAATGTACTGAATCTAATATAGCTTCCGCGACACTGAAATTATGTTAAGTTATCAATGATCAAATAAATATGTAAAATATTTAGGTATGATCCTTTTTTTTAAGTACCGTCTAAACGACGATACATAATATGTATTAAGTATCTAAAAGTATTATAGTATATGCAAATTTAAAAAGCATATAGAACTGGTGTAAGGTACAGTCAACAGAAAAAACTATCAATCGTTAATAAGAATAATATATTCAATAAATACGTATTGCTTAGCTATCAGAAAGTTTTGTTTTGCCTTAATTAAATGATGAATCTACATGTTTAATATCGTAAAAAATTTTTTTATGTGAATATGACCTTATTTCTTTTTTAAAAACTTTACGAAAGACTCGTAATTAAAGTTACTAAGAGTTGAACTGTTTATGAAATAATGTCTATAATTTTAGTTTACCCATGTAATTAATTTAACAAACGTCGGAGCGTACGAAAACTTTATCTTATTTCGTAGTCTTTGACAACTTTATTTTGCGATGTCTGTGTGTGCCTTTACTTAAAACAAATTTCCACGCAAGAGTGCGTGTAGTATTTGCTCCTAGAGTCCGAGTCGACTGTAAATATTGTAAATATTGCAAACGAGTTGAATCACAATGATCGTTCTTGTTATAGAGCTACTATTATTTTTATCTGTAGAATGTGAATCGTGTGACATGAGATTGTGGTAGATAATGCGAACGGTCGCTGCGAGTTGGTGATGGCCGGTCTCTAAGCCATCAGAACAAATAAAAGGTTATTTTCTCTTAATACAATGTCGTTTTATTTCCATCCTGGATATAATAATTATTGAAATCATGGAATAAATATGGGCGTTAGCATATTTATTCCATGTCTTGAGCATCCTTGCACTTCTGCGCGTGTTCCTTCACTTCATCGCACTCGGCGTCTTCGCTCCATGATTGGCAATCCTGTAATAACAAATATATGGAAGAAATATAAATAAGCACACAGATGCATGACCACGAGACAGTTACTAAGTAGTACAAACAACTAGAAAACATACATATTTTGTAAAAAAAAAAAGAACTTACGGGAACAGTATACATTTTTTATCTGTTCACAAACCTTTTTCTTTTTAACAAGGAGCAAAGACTAAATAAAATTTTTCAATTAAGCATAGGTTTATTTAAATGCAAATTTCTCATAATGTAAGGATTTTTAAATTATATCATGTCCGGGTTTAACTTTTGGCAATCTCTCAGAACAATAGTAAGGCAATCTATATCAGCTCGGATTAAATGTAGTAATTATATACTCTAGTGTACTGCGGTTCTTTCTTGGTTCTTTGACACTGACCTTAAAATAGAGGTCAGTCCAAATGGGTCAGTCACTGACCCGTATAATACTATATATATGTAGGTCAGTGAGATCAGTGTTCAGTGATCAATATTTATATTAACAGATTACTAATTTGCTAATTTCGCAGTTTTATAAATTAAAAATTGCTTAATTCTCATTTCCCTTTTTTTAAAACATGCGCATTTATTAAACTTCATAGTTTATTGTAATTAAATGAAGACCTAATTTGTAACTTTTTTAACGACGAAATTTTAGACATTACGAAAAGTAGTAAATTCAAATTATATGCACGGATTATATGATGTACGAGTATATTGTAATTTATTAACGATAGTGTGTTCCCAAGTTCCCTATTGTATGCTGTGATTTAATGCAGAGTATACCAGGGCGACACTGAAAGTTTCCAGAACTGGCCACTTGTAAACAATATAATAAAAAAAATAAGTTGAAATTTTGAAAATCGAACTCTGCCAATATTATTGTGTAGGTATGTATTTTATTAATTTGTTATTTGTTTACGATTTGGCGGCAAATTGAAAATTGTCTGTCACGTTAGCATGAATTTAACGCGAGAAAATTTTCGTACAATGATTTTTTATGGACGCAGAGGGAGCAGTGACTGCGTTTCAAAATGCCGTCGAAGAGACCCCTAAGGACGAGTGAGCAAAGTGCTTTTCTATTTTTTTCTCAGTGGTTCCATCGGAAGCAGCGATGTATTGATGTAAATGGACACTATTTTGAAAAGATATAATAAAACTAATAACTTGCTAGTTTGTTCAGTTTTTGATTTTCTAAGAACTTTCAGTGTCACCCTTGTAGTAGTTAGCAATATCCGCGGAATTAGTATAGCATTCAACCCGTTAAGAGAAGTTAGCTTTTGTAGCCCATACGTCGTTCATAAAATACATATTTAAATTATGTAGTTCATAAATTACATATTTACTCTAAGTTTCAAATTTCATCATCGTAAGTACTTAATTATTTTCTAATCAACAAATTACGTCCTCCTTACTGTTTTCTATCTCATTCTATCGCAGGCTAAATACTATAGATGTATGTATTTGTCTTTTTTTAGTGTCGTTTTTTCGTTTCATCGACTTTCAAGTCACAACAATTCTAAAGAAGTCATTCTTTAATGAACTTATCTGAACTAAATTGGATTAATAGATTAATGGGCATTGTATGCGTGATTGTATGAATTTTTGTAAGTATAATTCAAAATAATATTATTTGGTATTTAAAGTTCCCAAGGTATTTGAACGCCGTAAATAATAATAAGATCATTTCAATAACTATATTAGTAACTTCCAAGCAGCATGTAGGTACAAAACCTTATGTTAGTACCTCCATTGTTTACGAGGCGACATAACGACTTCGGTAAGCCTCTATGTCTATATACGTATATTCGTTGAGATGGCGATGATAAGATATAACTGCAAGATAGGTACGTGCGTAAATGATAGTGTAGTAGATATCTATGGTATAAATATACCAAACTTACCGCAACTGCGCTTACATACACGCAAACGTATAACTTTGACTCTATGCAATCGTGCTTGCTAATGTATTCCCTATATTTCCCGTCCAAACATTCCTTTCTCGCTCTAATCACCATTGATTTTTCCTTGGGGTAGTCGTTCTCCCACTGGTCGAGCAATTTATTCACCTTGTCGTCGTCGATTTCGTCATCAGTTAGCACATTTTCCAATTTTAGAACACATTTGTTGTGTTCGCACTAAAATATTTAAGTATTAATAGCAAACTTAAAAGTGTTAATAATATTATTAAAGTTGTAGATATAATTACACATAACATTCACAGATCTGTGATGAAGAAAAGCATAACCCGTGCGAGCAGCGTAGTGTTCACCAACTCGTCCGCCCCAGTATAATGAGCACATAGGGCACGCTTAGGAGAAATGCACATTATTGAAAAGACCTATGTCCTGCTGTTTAAAAAAAGCCGAAGAAGAAGAAGATATGGTTTAAGAGAATAATGAAAAAAGGCACTAGTCCGCTGCTCTGCTTCAATGCGTGTTGACGGACTTCGTGTGTCCTGGATTTATTATTAGACTTATAAATTTCCTTACGATGATCCTAACATTCATAAGTGCAATAAGTAACAATCGTTAATTGCAGCGGCATCGAACTCTGCTTGCGTGGGCATCGAACTCTGCTTGCGTGGGCATCGAACTCTGCTTGCGTGGGCATCGAAATCTGCTTGCGTGGGCATCGAAATCTGCTTGCGTGGGCATCGAACTCTGCTTGCGTGGGCATCGAACTCTGCTTGCGTGGTGCATGCTACTACTGTTTTTATTTTAAACCTTCTAGAAACGGGAGGAGACCTCAGTGCTCAGCAGTAGTACACTACACGTGTAGGCTGTTACTTTACTTTTTTAATGATTTTATTCTTATACATATATTATGATAGAAACCTATAGCAAATCTAATAAGGTTTTGCAATCGCATCGCCGGGACTTAAATGAAGACCGTGGTCGCCACATGGCCATCGCCTTCTCCCCAGGCCCCGAGAAGCCCCAATCTTTCGTTGCTGAATTTTCAATAGTCTGCAGCTTCATCAGCGACATAAATTTTGCTGCCATCTCTACTTAGGACAAGATCAATGCCACCATTGAGAACATTAGCCTAATCGACTCGATTGGCTCTTTCCATTGCGCTTAAGTCTAACTCCTTCAAACACTTGGAAGCACAACCTACAGGTCGAACCAAGCCGCGCTCTCTGACTGTTGTTTTCTTCAACGCAAACGGCTTCAGACATCAAGGAAGAAATCGTCAGGTTTTCACGTGAAAATGTCGATGTTATGCTAGTGCACAATCCTAGTTTTTTTTTCCCACAAAGATCAACACCTTTGTGGTAATGGGCAATGTTGTTGTGTTGCCGTTCTGCTATTTCATACAGAAAATATGTCGTTGTTAGAAATGATAGGATGACCGTGGTGATATAACCATCATCATCATCATTACTGCCCTTCACAAATCCACTGCTGAACATAGGCCTCCCCCAAGGAATGCCACAAAGCACGATCCTGAGCTACCTGAATCCATCGACTTCCTACATGTCTTACCAGGTCGTCACTCCATCTCGTGGGGGGTTGTCCTGCACTTCGCCTACCGGTACGAGGCTGCCACTCGATAACCTTTTTTCCCCATCGTTTGTCGGTTCTTCGAGCTATATGGCCGGCTAATTGCACTTCAGCTTACTAATCCGTTGGGCTATGTCAGTCACCCTGGTTCTACTGCGGATATCCTCATTTGAAAGTTTATCACGCAGAGAAACCCCGAGCATAGACCTGTCCATAGCTCGCTGTGTGACCTTGGGTGTCCTCACACGACCATCAGTGAAGGGCCCCGTCGGGGTTGGACTTACCTAGTCGGACTATTTGTCCTAGGTAAACATACTTGTCAACAACTTCGCGCTTAGTACTCCCAACAACTACCCGCATAGATGTGACATGGACGTTATACATAATCTTTGTTTTGTCTATGTTCATCTTAAGACCTATCCGTTGGGAGACACTATTATGGTCCTCCAGCAATTCTGCCATAAGGACTAAATCGTCGGCAAATCGAAGGTGAGTGATGTAGTCGCCATTGATATTAATACCGTATTCTTTCCAGTCCAGTAGCTTGAAAACGTCTTCCAATGCAGTGGTGAAGAGTTTCAGGGATATAACGTCACCCTGTCTTGCACCTCTCTACAGTTGGATAGGTTTCGTACTCTGGTTCTGTACTCGAATAGCCATCGTAGCCCTACTGTACAAACACTTCAGCACTTCGATATACCGACAGTTCACTTGGCACCGCTGAAGGGACTGCAGCACCGCCCAAATTTCAACGGAATTAAAGACTTTCTCCACATAATGAGTTGTTGCACTGGGGGCCGCGGGTTCGAATCCCGCACGGAACAAGTATTTGTATGGCCTACAAATAATTGTTCCGGGTCTGGATGTTTGTCCTCGTGTAATCTATGTTTGTAAACTGCCTCCACGATACCGGAAAAATCCTAGTGTGGGGGTAACGTTTTTAAAAAAAAAAACTAAAACTAAAACTAAACTAAAATTGTACTCTTCGGTCTTCCGTACAATTTGCCGAAGGGTATGTATGTGGTCCATGGTGCTAAAGTCTCTTCGGAAACTGGCTTGTTCAGGAGGCTGGAAGTCGTCAAGTATGTGTGCGAGACAATTCGTAATTAATTTCGAAAACAGCACGTAGACGCGACTCAGAAGGGAAATCGGTCTGTAGTTTTTCAAGAGAACATTGTCGCCTTTCTTGAAGAAAAAGACCACCGCACTTCTGCTCCACGCATCCGGTGTAATGCCACCATGAAGCTAATACAAAGGGGAGACGGCATAAGCAACTGTGCACTGTGATTCTAAGTAGGTCCTGACGTCATCGTAGTGGGCGTGGCTTTAGTTAGTATACTGTCAGCATTCGTCCTGTGCGCTCATGTGTTGAAAAAATCGCAAATCGATGTATTTTCGTAGTATTAAGAAGAAAAGGATGAAGTGTTGTGTTTTATTGTGTAAAAACTACTCAGATAGACGCTCTGATGTTATGGATGGCATCACATTTCATTTGTAAATAATTTTACACCTAATTTATTAAAATAGTTCTAGAAAAATCTCTTTGCGTTGGCTTTCAAATATAATTAAATAATATATTCGACACTAGATGGCGACACTTTGTGTCATGTCATGTGAACTAAAAATATAAAGGTCCGTAGAGCTCAGTATTGCTAAAATAAACATACGAAGGTGCTGAAATTTGTTTTGCATTCAGATATAAAGTAATTTTAATCGCAAAATATTATTTTTATACTTTATAATCATTATGTGAACAGGCCGTATTCTATCGTCAAGTAAACCTCATAAAGATAACAAAAAGACAGTGCCGTAATTAGAATTCAATTATTTTATTCAGTAATCCAACTTTCAATATTAAAATGAAGGAAATTGTACTTAGGCTGATTTTCACGAAATGTTTAAGTTATATTTAAGTGACATTCTATATGCAAAGAATCACTTAAATACAATTTAATGTTCTTAAATTGGCATTCAAAAAGTGCATTCGGATGCCTAATTTGGAATAAAATATCTATATTTTAATTGATTTGTAAATAAAATTATATTAATTATAATAATTTGTCTATTATTTGTTCTCCCTCAGAGATATTAAGTAGTATAACCCACAGATAAATAATAGTCCAGCCGTTTCTGCGTGAAAAAATTACACATACACAGTACATACTTAGTGTGGAATAAGCTCAAGGAGACAGAAAGAACACACAAAATTTCGCCTTTATAATATTAGTGAGATAAATAGGATATTTAGTTCCAAATTAAATATCCTATTTAATATTGAACATAGAATATTTAGTTTCAAAGAGACCTTATTTTATGGATAAAATAAATATTTTTTGAAGGTTGACTTTCACGAAATGATAAGCATATTTAAATTGTATTTAAGTGATTCTTTGCATATAGAATGTCAGTTAAATATAACTTAAACATTTCGTGAAAATCAGCCTAAGTACAATTTCCTTCATTTTAATATTGAAAGTTGGATTACTGAATAAAATAATTGAATTCTAATTACGGCACTGTCTTTTTGTTATCTTTATGAGGTTTACTTGACAATAGGTGGCGGCCTGTTCCCAAAATTATTATGAAAACTATAAAAATATTATTTTGGCGATTAAAATTTCTTTGTCTGAATGTATTTGCTTCATGAGATAGGCGCTCCGATGCTATGGATGTCATCACATTTCATTTGTAAGTAATTTTACACCTAATTTATTAAAATAGTTCTAGAAAAATCTCATTGCGTCGGCTTTCAAATATAATTAAATATATTCCACACTAGATGGCGACACTTTGTGTCCTGTGAACTAAAAATATAAAGGTACGTAGAGCTCAGTAATGATAAAATCATACGAGGGTGTTAAAATTTGTTTTGCATTCAGACATAAAGAAATTTTAATCGCCAAAATATTATTTTTTAGTTTATAACATTTTGTGGATATGCCGTCATCTACCGTCAAGGTAGCTAAGCTACATTGCAACATTGATATGGAAAGATTCGAATAGTTTTACTATTTATCGGTAGATGTAGATAGTGTAGGGGGCGGGGCTTTGCATCCCCTCACCCCGCAAATTGTCACGCGTTGTTTCATAGTGAAATTGAATTACAACGTCTCCTCTTTGTATTTGCTTCATGAATGCCACCATGGAGGACGGAATTATAGAGCTTCTGAAGGACTTGCAAGTACCGGTTTTTCCACCCGTTTTCAGAAGCTCTGCTGTAATTCCATCCTCGCCCGGGGACGTGCCATTTTTAAGTTGCTTTAGAGCCATTCTAATCTCGCTCAGACTGACGTCCGGGATATCATCGGAATAGTGTCGCATAAGACTTGTCTTGGATCGTTACTCACACTTGCGTGTGGTTCCAACAATGACGTGTACAGCTGTCCAAAGAACCTCTCAATATCACTCAAAATCTTAGGTATCTCGGAAACGATACCGCCACATTCGGTCTTCAGGTTCGACAGTTGGCTCTTTCTAGCAGACAGATCTCTGGCAAAGACTGGAGCCCTGGTTCCGCTCGATCGCTTTTACAATACGAGCAATATCAAGGCCCCCGTAAGGGCTAGTGGTGCCTGTGTGCAAAAAAGGATTTTGGCGCCCCTTAAGGCATTTTGGACCATGTTTTTTTTTTTTTTTGAAGGTAGGTAGGTGGTTAGGTGCTTGAAATAAAGCAAAAAACTGAACTTTAGAAGTCATATTTATTTGTAGACTAAAATATCAAAATGAAACAAACAGAATAAAATCATAACAAAATAACTTAAAATAAATTCTTGTTCACACCCATTTTAAAGCATTTACTTATAATGGGGTACAGACACATTGTTTATAAATACTAGAAAATAACCCGAAACTAAAAATCACATCTTTTTTAGGAACAAATAACAGAAATATTGCCTAATGTCTACATATATATATATATAAGTACTACTTTCTAATAATACTTAGATATTTTAAAAAATATGCAATATGCTATGCAGATACTTATGATAAAAAATACCTAGGTAACTTCGTTATAAAATAAAAAATGAGAGCTAGCTACAATAGAAAAATACACAATAGCTATTGTAGCAGCGATATTTTCCGAGACTTTGCTACAACACATTCATTAATAACATCGCTAAAATTTATACCATCAAAAAATTCTTGTTCAATTGCTAATATCGCTAGCCCAGCCAATCTTTCTTGAAGCATTGTCGATCTTAAATAATTTTTAACGCTTTTTAACTTTGAAAAAGATCGCTCGCCAGAAGCTACAGATACAGGTAATGTCAGAAGAATTCTTCAATTTCGAGAGAGAGTGCTACTTCTTTCGCATGTACAAGAATTTCTTCAAAAGATTGGTAAGATCTATATTGCTGGAAGTGATAAATTTTTTTTTAGGTAGCATACTTTAATATTAATTTTAGCACTTTGCATTTGTTTGCTGACAATATTTATGTGAAATAAAACGTCATGCCAAATAATAATTCCGGAAATAAATTGAAATTTTTGTACACACGTTAAGAGGAAACTCGCTTTATGTCTTGCATCAATGTGAAAGGAATTATCTTCAGCTATTTCTAGAAGACTTTCGCAAACCTTAATTAAATAAAGTTTAAGGGGCTTTATTGAATCAATTCTGCTGGACCATCTTGTCTCAGAATATCCACCTTCTCTTTTTCTCAGAATATTCCACCTTTTTGTGGACGACGAAAAAAATTATATAACTCTTGCACAAGATTAAAAAAGTTTATTCTATGATCTGACACTTTAGAAGCGCCATTTACTGTTAAGTTTATAGTATGAGCCGCACAAGGTACAAAAAGGGTTCTTGGATTCACGTCAAGAATGCGTTTTTGAAGCCCAACATACTGTCCCTTCATGTTTTCCCTATTAACAAAACCTTGTCCCCTAATATTTTTATATCTATATTTAATTTTTTCAAAATTTCTGTCACAAATGTATATATCCCTGTAGAGTCCAGTATTGGATTAAACGAAATAAAACTTTCCTTAACTTCAACCTTTTTTGAAGTTCTGTTAAGGACAACATACCTCAGAACAAGACTAACTTGCTCAGTATGGAAAAATATCTTGAACTGCGAACCATTTCTAAAATATTATTTCTTACTTTAGTCGACAATAATTCAATTATTTCATTCTGTATTTGCACGCCTAAATATATGTAATGAGTCATTTTAACACATTTTGTTTGGGAGTTACACACTCGGCCAACGTGTCTCATCACTGAATCACAAGAGGCAATCATCTCAACAGCTTTTAGAAAATTTCCATTATCATGTTCGAAAAGTAATTTCGAAGAACCTTGAAATGCCAAGCATTGTGTAGATAAACACTTAACAATCGCAATTATTCTTTCCAACACGTCGTGCAAATATTTTTTTTCCGTTTCTAAAATCCGCAGCTGATGAGCATTAACAGTCGTAGATGTCTCCAAAATTTTTTGTAAATTTACCACATATCTATTATGTGAAATTGACGTTTCGTGTCTCTTTATTAGCAAAGACAAGTGTTGCGAATCAGATACTCCATTTGTATCTCAACAAGTGTTAGGAGTTTTCAAAACAACTTACAACAAAAACAAAATACAGTATCTTTAGAAATAGAGTAAATAAGCCAAGTCCTTTCGACTTTTTCTCCATTTGCTAGACTTCTTACAAAGTATTTGCACGAACACTTTCTCTTATCTTTATTACTAGGAAAGCTAAAACTGATGTCTATCAAGGGCAGATCACGCTTAACCAATATTCTAGCTATCTCATTGGTGATTATTTCGGGCCACAAACCGGGGTCGGATGGATGTATATCGACGCTAGCCTTATTAAAGCCTTCATCGAAAGTGTCACTTGCAGCAGGTATTTCGGTAGCTGACATTACCGAACTTCTTAAACAAGCTGAATTACCTGAAGTGGATTGTTCAAGTGCTGTAGACGAGGATGGTGTCATCGCTTCATTGGGCTCTGCATCAGTAGAAGTTGTTTTGCTGCTACAACTGCCGCCACTTGTTGCAGGACCTGATGTTACCGTAGTCGCCTCTGTTGAAATTTCAGATGGTCCACTCACTTTACTGATATTACGGATTTAGAATCTTGAGATTCGGTCGCATCGATAGTCTCCGTGGAATCTTCATTGTTTTGCAAGAAGTGCTTTAAAGATCCAGCCATTTTTTCCTTTTCTTGTAGTCACAGTTTCTTTTGCTCGCGAAACTTCGCACCTGAAGGTCTCTTTCTTTTATCCTGACAAAACAAATAAATAATTAGTACTTATGGGAGTTAGGAATTAACTTCTACAGTAATCACAATAATAAGCACCAAGTTTGCATGTTGCATATTTAAGTTAAAAACAATTTGTTCGAGCCCTTTCAGCTTAAACCCTTTCAAAAATAAAGGCAGAAAAAGTATTAAACTAATTTGATCTTATAGCCCTTAAAATACCTACAAAATGGTTTTTTAAAAAGATCGATAGCATAAGCGAGTTATGGATAAAAAACCAATTACTTTTTTAAACTCGTACAGGGTCTTTGACTATATTTACGTGCTTCCTAGAGCCTTTATTATGTCAGATAGAAAAAAAAATGTTTCATGCAGAAGTTGTAGGTTTTTTCCTATATTATCTATTAAAGTTATCTGATAAAAACAGGAAACAGACAGGAATAGGAAACAAATGGGATTCCTATAAAGGGTTAATGTTGATAGTATAAAGTAAAGTATGAAACACTTACCATTTTATAAAAAATCAAATCGTTGAAATTGCAGTCAGCAGGTATTCAACACTTAATTTTTTAGGAAAAAAAGTAGTAAACATAATATTATACAACACCACACATAACAAAATAAAAATAATTTTAAATGTAAAAATTAATAGGATTATTTGTTTTTATGCACTTGTTGCACGGTCCAGTGAACTAACCGGTTTAAAAACGCCTCTGGCGATGCATCGCTTTTATTGGGGGCATTTTTCATGTCTGAACAGGAAAAATCAAGAAACTACCGCCTGACATGTTCTCGCAACATAGGAACAGGCAGTAACTGGATGATATACAAATAAAATTTCGTGTGTATTTATACCTAATCCGATTTAATTTCTTAACATTGTTTTAAAATAAATTTTTGTATTTTTTGGAATTCTATGCAATTTTTGACCCTGGGTTTTGGTGCCCCTAAAGGATGGCGCCCATGTGCATTGCACACTTTGCACATATGGTAGCAGGGGCCCTGAACACTATTAAAGTTACGTAAGTCCCGCCGCAAGCATTTGGAGATCTGTCTGTTTAGTAGCCTGTATGCTGTCAAATTCACTGAATACTGCAGCTTCATTTCCCGTACATGACATAACCAATCTGATCATAAATATAACGAAAGTCATATCTTCGACTAACTACTAGCAACATAGAGCAACACGGGTCACCGGCGGACCGCAGGAGAGTAGCCATAGCGTGTTTTTCTGATACAGAACTGTCTGTAATTTTTTGCGTGGGAAAATCTGCGCATACAAAAACATTCGTCTGTCACTACGAAACTCACACAACAATTTCCACTACATTGTATTATAACAGTATCGCTAGATGACAGCGACTACTCGGATACGAACTCGGATCAGACGATCGACCGATCAGCATATTGCCGCCGGTGGCCTGAGTTGCTCTATGTGATATCAACATTAAGTCACTTGACTGACTGATCTCTCTAGGATATATATATATATATATATATATATATATAGAGAGAGAGAGAGAGAGAGTAATCTATGAATTGATCACTCGTGACGTCATGGCGCATCGACAAAACCAATACGTACCGTCATGTTTTTGTCCACATAGACGTTGCATTCACTTGTGTCCAATCTGTCCTCTAAGAAAATGTCACTTTTGCAGCATACTTTGCCATTGTGCTAAAAATATAAGTCCAGTAAATATACGCTCACATACATTCATATTTATAACATTCTGGTAGCAGATAGCCGTTTCAGTTCCAATATTATTTGATTTTTTCTAAACATAATTATAAAATGATCCCTAAATAGCTAATAATTGCATCAAAATTCATTACCTTCTTAACTACACTTTATTTATTTACTCGACCTGACTGACCGGCCCATCCGTTTGGAGACTCATTCGCTTTCATACATTCTTGGGCCCAGATTGTAAAAAGATGAAAGTCGTGTCAATTAATAGCTTATATATTATTAAATAAACACTGAAAATTTTGCGGACTTTTACAATCTGAGAGCACAATTATAAGAGATTTAGTAAAAGTGAGGTTATAGAAAAAGTTGGCAAAAACCAATACTAAACAGCTGATTTTTGAAGTGCGATTGCCGTTTTAGAAGGATCGTGGACCTAGTGTATTACAGCGACTAGTCGCTATGCCACAATTCGCACAGCGACCCAATGAGTTAATATCTAGTAGATAAAATCCAGGCCGTAAAATCCACAATAGCGAGTCAAAGTCAATCGAGTAAACAAGATTATCGGTATTCGGTATATTAGCAAGGGTCGTACAAGTTAAGTAAGATATGAAGTCCGTAGAAAGAAAGCAGAGGTCAAGCAATATAAATCAATAAAACAAGGGGAAACACTTAAAACACACACGTACTAAACGATACGAGACGTGTTATATTCGGTAAGAATCTACTAGTTAGTCTGTGCGTGTGATCAATGATCATAGATTGAGTTGAGTCACGCAGGTGCTGTCACTATAAGCACAGATTAAAAATACATTTGACAAAGAAGTAATAAATCGAACTGTAAACGTGAATCGATTTTAAGATTTATTTTTATTATGTTGATATTTTATTTTTTAAACTGTTGATACTATGTTAATATATTGTAATGTATCTATTTACTTTGATGTAAGTTGTTTTTATGTTTAACTGTTACAACTCATTCACATTAATCGATTAAAGTAGTCGATTTACTATTTTTTTCGTGACATAAACTTATTTTAAAAATTTCTCGTCTTACAGATTGTGAATTGGGCAATTTTTTATATTTTGAAATAGAAAATCATAACGCTTTTTTAAACCATATTTCAAATTACTACAATTGGGCCCAGAAATCCCCGTCTCCTTTCTTAGAAAAGTATATTTTTATTCCCCTATAAAACCATAGAATACTATAATACAGTATTCTATGTATAAAAAAGCGGCTGTTTCATTTTGTATTTTATTTGCATGTATGTACTCAATTAAAATCAATATATTTGTTGAGTTTGTTACTAAGTGCCATTAAATTTGCATTTGAAGAGATTTCCTAACTGCGTAAACAAATTGCATGCCGTGTTGAGTTATCTGTTTAATTAATAGTTCGTCTTTTCAACTCTTTATATCCTAGCATTATTCCTAGCATATAACATTTTAAATAAATAAGATGTTACGATGAGGGCTAAAAGTACCTTATACACGGAGACTACGGTCTATAGAAGGCCTATGGGAAATGTCCGTGTCACTGTCGACTGGATCACAAATTATTCGATTTCACACACACACACACACACACACACACACACACACACACACACACACACACGCACGCACGCACGCACGCACGCACGCACGCACGCACGCACGCACGCACGCACGCACGCACGCACGCACGCACGCACGCACGCACGCACGCAGGCACGCACGCACGCACGCACGCACGCACGCACGCACGCACGCACGCACTCACGCACGCACGCACGCACGCACGCACGCACGCACGCACGCACGCACACACGCACACACGCACACACACACACACACACACACACACACACACACACACACTTGCATACATGCACTTGCACATATACCTCCTTTTGTACTTTTTGTAATTTTTGGTTGTAAAAATAGAAATAATTAGTTTTTGTCAGGTTTGGTTTGTTAAAATAGAGTAATTGGTTTTTGTCATTTTTGGTTTGTTAAAATAGAGTAATTGGTTTGTCATTTTTGGTTTTTAGAATTAAAATGTGTGTTTAGATAAGGAAGAGCGGGGTTTCCAAACCCAAGCATTACGTGCTTAAATGGAGACCCCAATCAACTATCTAATTAATTTAAGTTTTGTGAAGAAAAATAAATTATTTTATTATTATTATAACTGTATACTAATTTAAGCTGTCTTCAAAATTTCACAGAAACTTGTCCTAATTTTTTTAATGTTATTACAAGCTTTTATTTAACTTGCAATGTACGAGTAACTATGTTTGTTCGAATGGAACCTTGCAACTCAATTTTGAAGCAGATATCTTCAATCGATTGAGCTTAAATTTTGTATAAACGTTAAGTTTGGATGACAATGCATGGTTAGCTGTGTGACGTCATTCTAAATCCAACATGGCGGAACACCCAAGATGGCGGACTAGTTATTTTTAATGCACTCCTACAATATGGATATTAAATGATAGGGCTTGCTTAGTGTAACTCGAAAAATAGTGACGTCACTCTAAATCCAATATGGTGGACTTATAAAGATGGCGGACTAAGTTTTTTATACTTTCCTACAATATGGGTGTCAAATGAAAGGATTTGCTGAGAATATTACTGCGAGTTAAACAAAAATAAGATGGTGATCATAAACTCGGTTGCTCCAATCCGTCTGAAATTTTGGTGTACTGGGGTTTTTGCAGTCCTCGATAATAATATGCCATCAAAAACATAACTTGTAAAAAAACCAAGTCTCGCAACTCAGTTCTTGTACCGTAAAAAGTTGTGAGGTCCAAGTAATACCAAGTCGGTTAATTTATTCAGTCCCTACTTAAGAGTCCTTCTGTCTTAAGTTATTACGTAATTAGCTAACCTAACAACATCTTATAGTGACCATATCAATATTAAAGATCTTTTATGCTTTAAATAAATAGATTATCTTGACCATTCAATTCAGGCTTCTACTTTTA